TTGAATATATTAATGAGATCTGGCGCTCGGCAATTCTGGCACGCGCATGGCTCACATCTGACGTAGTTCCCATTCACAAACCAAGAAAGCCATCCGGTGACAGGCCTTTCTCCACAACCTGCTGTCTCGGCAAGGTTCTGGAGCGAATGGTCCTAACACGCCTTGATTGGCAGCTTGTTACATCTAGCGCTCAACTTCATCAATTATCTGGCTTCCGCGAACGGCGGTGGACAACAGACTCAATTGGTGACCTTGTGTCAGACATGAAACAATCAAAGGCAACTCGGCAATATATTTTATATCAAAAAATGAAAGCCGTTTACAATTCCCTGTAACGCCGGTTAGAGCGCAGCTCTTGAGGAGGAAGATGGAAGCGTACTGAGGGATAGGTGACTCCTTGAGGTCACGTGACCTCAAGGGGGTCACGTGACTTCAGGGGCTCACGTGACCTCCGGGGGTCACGTGACCTCAGGGGCTCACGTGACCTCGGGGGTCACGTGACCTGAAGGGTCACATGACCTTAGGGGGTCACGTGATCCCCAGAAGTCACGTGACTTCAGGGGGTCACGTGACCTCAAGGCGGTCACGTGACTCCTGGGGTCACGTGACCTCAAGGGGTCAGGTGACCTAAGGGGGTCACGTGACCTCAAGGGGGTCACGTGACTTCAGGGGGTCACGTGACCTAGGGGTGTCACGTGACCTCGGTGGAGGGGTCACGTGACCTCGGGGGGTCACGTGACCTCGCGGTTACGCCGACGGCGACGCCGACGCCGCTGAAGCCGGAAACGGGCCCCTAAGAGCTGCGCTCTAAAAGGCCTTTGACTCTATCCCACACGAAACTATTCTCGCTCAGCTAATCACGCTTGGTGTTACCGGCCATGCGCTCGCCTTCGTTCGTGCATTCCTGGCAGGGCGTACAATGTGCGTTCGCTTAAAAGGTATGCGCTGGTTGGAGCAGAAAGTAGCCCAGGGTGTTCCTTAGGGCAGCGTCATTAGTCCAGTTTTGTTCAATGCAGCAATGGCAGCTCTGCTGGAGGCCCTGCAGTCCTTGAACATTCCCTCTCCAGTCATAAATATCGCTATTAATGCAGACGATAATGCGCTCTTGGCTACTGCCCCAACTAGCGAACGCTCCAGCTAGGCCTCGACGCTATAGTTGACGTGATATCTCGGCTTGGTCTTACGTTATCTGCCTCCAAAACAGCTCTTCTGTTCGGAGGCAGATTTCGGTTGATCGAAGATCAAAAGATCTTCGATCAACCGAACTTACATGATCAATGGGACAAGCGGGACAAGGGTTTGAACATACTCCTACCTAGGCTTCCTCCTAGATGATCGAGTCTCCTGACGACCAGCTATCAAGGAAGTCATTATCAGATGCCGTCGACACCTCAATGCTATCCGTAAAGTTATTGGCAGCAGATGGGGTACCGTACAGGCAATGATCATGCAACTGTACAGAGGTCTTATTCTTTCAATGATGCTGTACACTCTGTCACTGAAGCACCTCAGCAATGTTCAGAGCTCAGCTGTTGAGACTCTTCACAGAGTGTCAGTCCGTCTGTGCCTTGGATTACCCAGATATTCAACAAACGTCCCAACACTAGTTGAAGCGAGGGTAAACCTTGTGGGGGCCCGCTCTGCCGCCGCCTGATTGTTACAAGACTCCGGCGGCCGAGGGCGGCTCAAGGTCGAGCCGTCGGCACCCTCGGCAGCCGATCGAAGCTTATCGTGGCAGGCTGGTGGCGGCGGCGGACGTCCTCGGCCCCCTTCAAAGGAGTCCGACCCCCAAGGGCCTGGACGGCGTGGATGGGGAGCCGGGAGGACACCCACGTCGGGATGAAGGCACCCGTCGGCCTGGCGCCGGGAAAATAGGGGTGCGAGGAAAAGACCGGCGGTGCTCGAAGGGTCGGTGGGGGGACGCGTGAGTGGTGCAAGGGGAGTGGTGTGACGGACGGCAGAGGGAACGGACGTGGGAATACCGTGAGGTGCACCCGACGGAGAACTCATCAATGTGAGTGATTAAATGTTTATGTCAAGAGTAGTGTTGTGTCACCCGGGGGAGGGGGGGGGGGGGGAGAGCTGGACGGGGATAACCCCACACACTGGCGCCCAACGTGGGGCCCGATTAATTGTCTTTGTCCCATTCCTCTTCTCGGGTGTCACCACTTTACTTGTGTTTAATTTTGGAGCGGGGGCCAGTTTGGCAAGGGTTTTGATTAGGCAGAGAGCTTTGACTTAAGTCGAGATGCCGAAGTCCAGGCGCGAGGGAAACGGAGGTTCAAACGGCGCGACCGCGCCGAGCAGACGGGAACCAGCCGCCGTTCCCCCTGAGGCTAACCCCGCAGGGGCGACTGCGTCGCTGGTTGAGAGTCCGACCATCGCGCAACCGCAGGCGCCTTCGGATGCGGCTGAGCTCATGGAGCAAATGACAGCTCTGTTCGCTACACTCACGCGGCAGTTAGCTGCGGCCCAGAGCCCGACTGCTCCCGCGCCATTGACACTTCCGCGTCCGCGGCTTACGATGGAGTTGCCCACGTATTCGGGTTACGCAGACGAGAGGTCTGTTCATGACTTTCTGTTGCGCCTGGGCGCCTACCAAACGGCCGTTGGCGCGTCGGATGACACCGTCATCCGGCAGATCCTGCCAATCGCCCTCGTCGGGGATGCCGCCCGTTGGTGGAGGCTTCAGGAGCCTCCCTCATCGATGGCCGCGTTCCATGAGCGCTTCCGAAGCGAGTTTCTGCCACCGGACTATGAGAGGCGCGTCCGCGAGGAGTTGAACACGCGCACGCAGCATCCTGACGAGAGCCTTTTGGAGTACGTGCGCGCACTTCAGGAACTTTATTCGAGAGCAGACCCCGCGGCGAGTCACGCGGACCAAGTTTCGCGAGTAATCCGCCAGTGCCACCCGTCCTTCAAGCCGTACCTTCGTGGGCGCAGCTTCGACACCCTGGAGGCTCTGGCTCGAGAGGCGCGCGTCGTTCAGGCGGACTTGCTTGCTGAGCTCCGCTACGCGCCGCCGCCTGGGCCAGAGGAATCGCTTGAGCGCAGTTGCGCGTGGGCGGGGTCCCAAAGCCCGGCCCCCCGTGGCGAGGCAGCGTGGGTGTCCGCGGTTGTTAGGCGCGAGGCGCGAGAAGTCGTTCCAGCTCGCGCGCTAGACCCCTTCTCGTACGAGCAGAGACGCTGCGCTGGCCGCGAGAATCGGCCTTCGAGTTCGGTCGGGGCCATCGCGGCCGGAGCTCGTGGTGTCGCGAGGCAGGGAGATAACGCGTCCCGTTTCGGTCGAGATGAAAGGGACGGGCGTCGCCAGAGTCCGGGCCGCCAACCCCTGCGTTGTTTCCGGTGTGACCAGCCTGGCCACATCATACGTAACTGTCCGCAGCTCGAGCGCGACGGTCAGCGCCAGGGAAACGCCCGGGGCCAGCGGCGTTAACCGGATCATCCAAGTTCCCGCCGCTGGCCAGTGGCGAAAGGGAGGGGCGACGCGGTACCGGGGGGAAGCCCCACGAAGTCGTGTTACCGACATGTCCCACTGATGTCGCGGACGCGTTTGCCCCACTGGCATGTAGAGCCCAGACGGGACTCTCTGCCTCTGGACGCTACATGACGATTAACGTTGCTGGGAGGGAGTTCTCAGCATTGATAGATACAGGAGCTACCCTTTGTCTGATCGGTGACGACGTGTACGAAGCGTGCCGCGAGAGGAGGAGAAGTTTAAGACCGGTCGACTTCTGCATGCCTTTGGCAACGGGCGTGACGAGGCTGAGGGGCTCTACGCCTTCAGGTCGAGTTTGACGGTCGATGTAAGAGGCAACGTTTTGTGTACCTTCGGGGTCTCACATCTCCGGTCATACTGGGGCGAGATTTCCTTTCTCGAAAAGGCATCATCGTTGACCTGCGGAACAGTGGGTACCGTTACGACCCGTCTACTCCGCTGATACCTTTCGCCGATCCACCGCCCCGTGTTCCTTGCGCTCCACGTACGACGGCTCTCGCTGGTTGCCCCAAGCTCCCCAAGCAACCACGTATGTCCGTCGGACGTCCGAACAAGAGCCGAATATCCATTGCCAGGGAAGGACGTCCGTCGGACGTACACTGGACATCCGTATGCGTACGTCCAAATTCGGACTAATAGTGGACGTCCTGTGGATATACAGAAATGGATGTCCGAGGGCTGTCCATTTGTGGATGTTCGAACATATCCCAATAGGTATTGGGAAACCATTCAAAAACAGTTACTTAAAAGTGGTCCCATTCTGCACTAAACGATTATCATAACAGAACCTTTTTGTGCAGAGGATATACCTTTCCCTAATGAAGATAGGTTTGAGGCCCCCCCCCCCCCCCCAAGATTCTTTGACAGATTTGATGGCCCCTTCAAGATTTCCTGAGGTCTTAAGAGGTCCCATCACAGTATTTCCTGAAGTTCCATAGGGGCCCATCACAATTTTCTGCAAAGTCTGATGGGCCCTCTAGGATTTGCTAAGGGTTTGAGGGGCGCAATAGATGCTTTCTGGGGTCTCCAAGATCATTCAATAGGTATGACGGGGAAAAAAAGAGGTGGACACATCGGTAATTCGTTTTTTTTTTTTTCAAGTGTTGTCCGAAGGTCCATTAATAGAGGCCTAGAACCTTAGAATTGTAAGCTCCTTTCAAGCTGATACTGTGTGCGGTAAAAAGAAAAACAGTATTGTATGTTCTCGACTACAAGTAATCAAATGAATTGTGATGCATGTGTACTACTTTTTAAAGTAATTTTGCAATCATTTGATTACATTTTACGTAGTGATGTCGCAGTGCCAGTTGGCCTTATGTTTCGTAAGCTAGAAGGAAACAAGGATGTTAGACAGCAAAATAGTTTTTTATTTGCAATCAGAACCAGGGCAGAGGCACCTTTCTCACACTTGAAGGTAGATGCCTACTCTCCCTTAGAAGTGGTGCACCTCTCCTTTGCGCGGCGAAGCTACTCCTTGACTCCCGTTTCCACCTCTTTTTTCGTAGACTCTTTGCAGTGCTTTGTCCGCTTTATAGCAGCTGAAAGCAATAGATGACCCTTATAGTACAACTTAAAAAGGCAGGGAATTGCGTTGCAAACTTCTACTTACCAAAGATCAATTTGTACAGCTTAAGGCTACGGAAAACCTTCTTCCCTTTGCGCCCATCCATGCTGAACTTGGCTGCAGCTTCGTCACTAATCAGGTGTGCAAGCATAGACCTTACAGTTGTTTTGATAGACAGGTTTTGATAGACAGGTTTTGATAGACACGACACAGTTAATACGAAAAAGACATAGCCAGTTTTCGCTGTTTTACTCTGACCAGTGAAACGCTATCCCCAAAGCTACTTATATCACGGAAAGGGTTCATCTTGGGGCAATAACCTTGGTTATAAGAAAATGCAATCCTCAATTCACTGTCCATGCAAAATGCCAATGCCGTGTTTGAGCACATAAAACGTGGGGCTGGTGCCTGGGGAACGTAAGACATGACATAAGGAGCATTACGATACCCAGAAAGCAAGTATAGCCAAAAATGTTTGGCATTCAAGGTTAGCTGGATAGAAAGAACCTGAGCATGAATGGGTTTACAGCTTGTATTAACTGGGCTAGGCTTTACAATTAGCCAATTCACACCCCCTCTTTATCTCCGAGGCCAGTATGAGTGAACTGGTGATACCTTGAGAAAGATTGAAGGAATGTGAGGGCCCAAATTTTATTTTATTTGGGCAGTTGTTTACACCTCCTAGTCATTGTTCTATCTCATTAGTCATTTCCCATGCTCTAAGATCTGGAACTGTGGGACAGAGTTGCCATTTGAAGAAATACGGAAGTAGTCAGAGCTTGCTCTACACTCATGAAATAATGCTAAAGTATAGCACCATTACAAACACCTTTGTTGCTTACCAGAGAACAGGCAGTCTCACCCCTTCGATGCATCTCGATTTAAAATCACAGCTTGCTCCTAGCTTATTTGTTATCTGCATGTCTTAACCTTAGCTGCACACTAGGGATAAGACATAACAGCAAAGCCTAGAGAATGCAAACACCAATACTTGCCTCAGTAAGTGACAAAAACTAGAGTATGGGCAGGCATTGATAACAGCAATTGCTTACCAAAGCCTCACTCGTGGCATCTGTAAGAGCGCCATCAAACACCTCAATTGCTTCAGGAGTGTCGAGGGGATCAACGAGGATCGGCTGGCTGGGCTCTACAACGAAACTCTCACGCGCTCGTAGCAATGTCGAAATCATGTCCATTATCTCCGTCTGCTGGCTCCTCATGACGCTCATCCCATTCAGCACCCGTCGCTGAAACTCTGCATGCAAAGAAAGGCTTGAAATAAATATTGGCAAATAAAATTAGTGCAGGCAGGAGACAACATCCTACTTACCAGCAGCACTCAAGATCCTAGCAGTGGCCCGCAGATCAGCTAAAAAGAAAAAAAAAAGATGGCAAAAAGTCAAGAGCTTAGCCATTTCAAAACTATTCAAAGTTGTGCAACCATGCTGTGAAAGAAAAACAATTGAAATCAAATTAGCTTACCGCAGGTCGAAGCACTGGTGCTAGGCGTCATGTGTTGCATAGCCTGCAGTGCTGAAAAAATTTAATGAAGGACACACAAAATATCTTAATACGCAGCTGCAACACAATTCTGCAGTAAAGTACCTTGATCTAATCGACTGGGAGCCGACATCCTTGTCAATGTTTGAGATGCGGTTGAAAAACCACTGGCATCTACGAAGATAAAGACAACTGCAGGCGCTAGATGCAATAAGGGTACAAGGTGACTTGGATTGCTTCTCATATTTATTTATGTTATTTATTTATTTGGTACTTCTGAACTGCCCTTGAAGAGCCCGTGGGCCTACAGGAGGGTGCACCATGCATACATGCAAGAGCTCAAATGACACAGAATACAAAATTAAAAAACATGCCTAAAAAAGTAGGAAAAAAATTTACATATGTAATATCAACAGAATGTGACCTCCGACAGTGGAAAACATACAGCGCAGAAACCTGTTGCCCCCATATCTGTTGTTTAAAAAACAGAAAGGAAAACATACAATCAATGTATACCTTGAGCAGGGCTCGCACGCTAAAACTTCCAGGCAAAAAAATATCCACCTCTGGAGAGTTCACTTTATTTAATATGCTAAAAGCCTACCGAAAAGTTTCCAGATGTGAAAAAGTCACTTCGTTTTTGGCGGTATGGTGCTCCATACATTTGCTTGCTCAAATTTGATTAAATATAAAACTTCACCCAGAAAGATATGAAAGAGATGGCGATTGTTTTTGCAAGCTTTGCATTTGAATTTGCACTGCTAGTGTGCGTAGCTCTTTATTTGTAAAACGATCATGCAATGTACCTTTATTTCGTGAACTGGGAGCCGGTGTCCTTGTTGACGTTTTAGGTGTCTGGAACGAACCACAGGCACCTGCGAAGATAAAGACAATTGAAGGGGCTACATGCACGAAGGGTACATGGTGACATGGATTTTTCTCATATTTAGGTTCCTAGATGTGAAGAAAGCCACCTTGTTTTTGGTGGCATGGTGCTCCATATATTTGCTTGCCCAAATTTGATTAAATATAAAACTTCAGCGCTCACACGGAAATGAAATTAAAGTTAATTGGTTCTGCAAGCTTTGCACCTCAACTTGCAGCAATATGTGCATAGCCCCTCATTTGTAAAATGGCCATACCTTATAGGTTGTTCGCACATAACGTCAATTTGGCATTTTGTTGTTAGCTTGTTTTTTCACACAAATTTACTACATTGAAGGATTACATCGTAACCGGTTGAGATGATGTCAGCGGTGCTCTACGCATTTGAGGGGGCGTGTCAATCCTTGGAATGCTCGAGTTTGGCACACGCCAGACAGCTCACAACAACAAAATGGTGGACGAAATTACGTCAGTGAAAACACCCTATAGCTACCTTTATCTTGTGGACTGGGAGCCAGCGTGTTTATCGAAGTGCTAGACGACTGCGACGAACCACTAGCACCTGTTTGGAGATGTCTGATTAAGTTGGGAATTGGTAACATTAGAATACAAAAAGCGAAAAACAATATAAGTGGTTTTCAGGAGAAACTGTACCTCGCATTAGTGCAGCTTGCGACATTTCACTGTGTATTGATCTTGCCGGGCTCGCACTCTGTGATTCCAGTCTCTGGCTACTGGCTGTGAAAAGCGACCAGAAAACCTCAAATTGTAAGATGAAAAAAGTACAAATTGATCTCCCAAAATATAAAAAATGCAGTTGTGCCCCAACCCCCTATATAAGCACATTGTTTACGTAAAACGACAGATCAAGTACGTCTGACGACACACCCTAGACTTATCAAGTGCCAGGTTCGAATTCTAAGCTAAAGGTTAAGAAACAGTTGCAACGGTCAACAAGGCTGTCAGCTGCAGAACAAAATAAAAATCAAATAGCGTTACGCGAGTTCTGCCGTGCGCAGAGCGGCATCGGGGCTTCCGGGAATTCATCCGAGCTTGAGTCGGACTCGCTCCAGCGTGTGGGGCGAAATCTCCTACGCTTTGGGCGTATCTCCTCGTCCGAGAGATCAGATGTGAACCGCGACCGCTCCAACTTAGATCGCCCTTCTTCGTAGGAATCTGTAGTTACATAAGAAAAAAATACTTACAAATAATGAACACTGCTGCACGCATGAAGAGATGCAATATACTCACTGAATAGTCCTTTCACAGTCACCTCGAACTCAGAAAACCCTGGTCCTGGTGGCCCCCCCTTTCGCACTAGCTTGACAGCCTTATCGGTGGACACCTTCGGCCATAAACACTCGTTTCCCGTGACCCACGTGCAAGGCACGATCTCCACCTCTTGGGTTAGCGTAAATTCCACAATTGCATACATCCCTGAAAATGAACAGAAAAACTGATGTGAGAAAGTCATCAACACTAACCGGATCTAAAAAGTTATGCAAAAGCTGAACATTTACCTTGAGCTGCTGAAATGGTGGCGGTTTCACGGTACCGTCGCTTTCACCGACAGTAAAACGTAAAACCCGGTCGTGGTAACACCAGAGTCCAAACCACGCGCTCCTAGAGCCGACAATGCACAAATATCGATGGATTTCGTTGGCTATGGATTTTAACGGATATGTGACACTAGCGGCACCTAGAAAAGTTGAAAAGTACATGACGTCGGGGTTAAACATCAATAAATAAATAAATTGGTAGCGTTTGTTTTATTCGTACATTAGTTTGGTGACTCATAAATTTAAACAAATCTCCACAGACAAATTATAACTGCACGCACTGCACGGTCGTATCGTCAACGTCATCCCTCTACGCGTTGCATAACGCGCTGACTTCTTGAATTGCAGTTTACGCCAACACGCTCGTCAACAAGCAGTAAAATAATCGTGCCCAATTTTGAACAACAAACAAGAAAAGTAGCGAGAAGAATATTCTTATTGAATCATATCCCGTCTAACCACTCCCGCCTTGGCTGGCAACCCGAGTTTCGAATTTGTTCTTTTTTGTTTGTTGCTTTCGTGTCCACGTTGTTGCTGTCGCGTGTCGATACAACGGTGTCACGAAATTTTTTTATTTCTGTTTTAAGTAGTATTGTGTTTATGTCGCAGTACTGACGTTGGACAATTTTACAGAAGAACTGTTCGTCTAGTTGAACCATCTGCTTGAGTTGTCCATTTCGGGTTAGTACTTGCTTTCCATACCACGTTGTTTTTTTCCGTCCCCGTCTGTTTTTGTGTAGCTCGAAATTCAATCCGTTCGTGTCTTCGTAAGAAGGGGTAATACGGACGTTGGATAGCGTTTCGGAACTTTGGTTCACCTAGTTGAACGGCCTACTTGTATCCATTTTTAGGAAAGTTTAGTCTCATTCTGAACCGCTTCGTTATTTCGCGCATATCATCCGTACCACGCTTTGTTTTTTCCGCCCTCGCCCGTTCCCGTCTGGCTGGAACTTCATTTCGTTTGTGCTTTCGTTTGTAGCCTCCTGGAGGCTTTGTGCACGCGTCTGGCAGTGTCGGGCAAGTTTCATTCACCAGACGGCCCATTTAGAGGAGTTAGTTTAGTCTTGTTATTTGAAGGAGTTTGAGTATTTCGCCCGTATCATCTCTAATGCACAGGTAATCATGCCCAAAGTCAAAGAAAAGTCCTACACACTCAAAAAAGCCTCACAGAAAACAAAGGAGATATTTGAAAACTTTGGGCACCCTTGCTTCCAGCAAGTTACACTACCTGTGCTAACGGATGCCATAGACAAAAATGGCTCATGTACATCAGCAGCACACACATGCAGTGGCAGCGTCTCTGCCCTTTTGAGTTCAGATTCATGCGGCAGCCAAGATTGCAGCAACGAGGGACTACCTGTGGCTCAGGGTGGTGATGCAGCAGCTCGGCTACCAATTACGCCCTTAGAAGTGGCACAGATCGAGTATTCGGATGCGGAGGAGATAGAGGATAGTGTGCCTTACTCAGCTCTTGCGAGTTACAGTCCTCATTCCAAGCCTACTTTCTCTGGCTGCGTAAACACGGAGCCAGTTGCTGGATCTGGTAATTTGGCTGCAGAACTGAAGACTTGGGCTCTCAAAGAGAATATTCCACAGACCGCTGTAACGTCCCTCCTTAAGGTCTTGAAGTCACGACCTTTTGATCCAGCATGTCTTCCGAACGATGCTCGCACTCTACTCGGTACACCTAGAGACACGATGCGTACTCCAGCTGTAACTGCGATGCCCCCGGGAGATTACTGCCATTTCGGGCTGGAGTACCAGCTGAGAAATATCCTCTCACATGCACATTTTGAAGGTAGGTCTATTGCCCTGTCTTTCAACATCGATGGATTACCCATTTCAAAAAGCACAAAGATGCAGCTGTGGCCCATCCAGTGCATGGTTATTGAACTTGGCAAGGCAGCCCCTTTTGTTGTTGGTGTTTTTGCGGGAGAGTCAAAGCCAGCATCGGCAAATAATTTCCTGGCTCCTGTTGTGGGCGAGCTGCTACAGCTTTTGTCTCAGGGAATGAGCTTCAAGGGGCAGATGATAGAGGTCTCGGTGAAGAGCTTTATTTGTGACGCACCTGCACGGTCGTTTGTGTACAGCATTAAGGGTCACACAGGATACTCGGGATGTCCGAAGTGCATTGCAGAGGGCACATATACAAACAAAAAGGTTTTTTATCCATCCAAAATTTCCACCCTGCGGACTGATGATTCTATAAGGCGCCAGACGGATCCCGATCATCATCATGACGTCTCAGCCCTGACAGAGCTTCCAATCGACTGTATCAGCACCGCGCCCCTTGACTACATGCATTTGCTATGTCTCGGTGTTCAGAAGAAGCTGCTCGGCTTATGGTTGGGTGGGCCCTTAGATGTGCGCCTTGGCCCTGTAGGCCGAAAGCGATTGTCTGACCTAAACCTTTCTTTAGTTGCACACGTGCCTGGAGAATTTGCACGTAAGCCGAGAGGCACAGCGGAGGTCGACCGGTGGAAGGCGACAGAGTTTAGACTTTTCCTTCTTTACACTGGGCAGGTAGTACTTAAGACCGTTCTGTCCCCTGACCTTTATAACAACTTCCTTGCTTTGCACTGCGGCCCATTTCTCGTATCGAGCCCAACTTTGTGTCATCAGTACGTAGATTACGCAGAGTCACTTTTCCAGCACTTCGTGAAAACGTTCGCAAAACTCTATGGAGACGACCAGGTGTCTTACAACATCCACTGTGTCTTACATCTTGCAAGTGATGTGCGCAACCAAGGTCCGCTAGATACGTTTAGTGCGTTTCCTTTCGAAAATAACATGCAGTGCCTGAAGCGACTCCTCAAGAGTCATAATACTCCACTGGCTCAACTGTATAACCGTCTGAAGGAGCGTGAGGGCATGGCGGCGACTGCCAAGACACCTCTGGATTCTGTCCAGCTTGGAAAACAGCATACAGATGGGCCTCTCCCGCCCGATTGTTACCACCCCAGTACAAGTCTGCAACCTTTGCTGATTTCGTGCTCGCCGTAGACTTGGCCAACAACTGCTGTATGATTGATGACGCTATTGTCCTCGTAGACAATTTTGCGCACTCTAGATCTACACAGGCGCCTTGCATCATTGGTCGAGAACTCGTCGTAAAGGAAAACTTCTATGATAAGCCATTTTTATCGGGTACCATTGGTGTTTTTGTAGCCTCCCAGCCTTCTTACACAAAATGCTGGTCATTGAAGAATGTACGTAAATTGGTCCGGTTGCCTTGGGGAGCGAAATCGGTGGTCATTCCACAGCTGCATACACTTTAACTCCACGCCTGGGGCCAGCACCATCCATTCTGCCACTGAAAGCTACAGGTACGTTGACGGTGTACGTGAAAATAACCCTCACTCATGCCTTTGTCAACGTGTTTTCGTAGAGCTGCACGGTGGAGAGGGGTTTCCCCACGCCTGGGTCAAGCACATCCAGTCTGCTGCTGGGAGCTACAGGTATGTTGATGGTGTACGTGAAAACAACCCTCACTCATGCCTTTGTCAACTTGTTTTCTTAGAGCTACACGGTGGAGAGGGGTTTCCCTCACGCCTAGGTCAAGCACATCCAGTCTGCCGCTGTGAGCTACAGGTACGTTGGCGTTGTACGTGACGATTGCCCGCACTTATGACTTTGTCAACTTGTTTTCTTAGGGCAGCACGGTCAAGAAGGATTTCCCCACGCCTCGGCCAAGCACCATCCAGTCTGCCGCTGTAAGCTAAGGTGCATTGACGTTGTTTGTGAGGATTGCCCGCACTCATGCCTTTGTCAATTTGTTTTCTTAGGGCAGCACGGTCAAGAAGGATTTCCCCATGCCTCGTCGAAGCACCATCCAGTCTGCCACTGTGAGCTACAGGTACGTTGACGGTGTACGTGAAAATTGCACGTGAATATGCACTCATACCTTTGTCAATTTGTTTGCTTGGCGGGGGAGAGGGGGGGGGGGAGCCGTAGCGGCCTCCCTCCGCCGAGGACTAGCACTTCGTCACTCGTCCAGTTAATTTGCGACAGTTACCGGCACTGGTATCTTAAGCTTTTCTCGCTAGGCATGAGATTGCTTTTCCCCGACACAGCCAATCTGGTAGTTTCTAGGCACAAGTGCCATTCATATAGTCCAATTAATATAATTAAAGAATATTTCTTTCATTTCTTTACAGACGGACACTCCCTCCAAGGTCTGACTAGGACATGGGCCAGACAACAGCAAGACAGCTGCTAAATATATGGCAGAAGAGATTGGTCCCATTCTGCACAAAAAGCTTGTTGATAACAGAACCTTTTTGTGCAGAGGATAATGAAGATATTTTTTGAGGGCCGCCAAGATTCTTTGACAGATTTGATGGCCCCTTCAAGATTTCCTGCGGTCTTAAGAGGTCCCATCAGTCTTTTCTGAAGTTCTAAAGGGGCCCTTTACAATTTTCTGCAAGGTCTGATGGGCCCTTTAGTTTTTCCTGAGGGTTTAAGGGGTGCATTAAATGCTTTCTGGGGTCTCTTACATTTTTCGGTTGGTATGAGGGGACAAAAAAAAGAGGTTGACACATCGGTAATTTTTCAGGGATGCGTTTGTTTTAAGTGTTGTCCGAAGGTTCTTTAATACAGACGTAGAACCTCGGAATTGTGAACTCATTTCAAGCCGATACTCTGTGCTGTAAAAGGAAAAACATTCTCGTATGTTCTCGACTACAAGCAATCAAATTAATTGTGATGCATGTGTACTACTCTTTAAAATATTTTTGTAATCATTTCATTACCTTTTACGTAGTCATCTCGCAGCTCCAGTTCGCCCTATGTTTCGTAAAATAAAAGAGAACAAAAATGTTAGAAAGCTGAATACTTTTTTATTTGCAATCAGAGCCAGGGCAGAGGCACCTTTCTCACACTTGAAGGTAGATGCCTGCTCTCCCTTGGAAGGGGCGCACCTCTCCTTTGCGCGGTGAAGCCTCTCTTTGACTTCCGTTTCCACCTCTTCTTTCGTAGACTCTTTGCAGTACTTTGTCCGCTTTACAGCATCTGAAAGCAATAGATGACACTTATAGTACAACTTAAAAAGGCAAGGAATTGCGTCGCAAACTTCTACTTACTGACCGCGACCGCTCCAACTTGGAGCGCCCTTCTTCGTAGGAACCTGTAGTTACATAAGAAAAACATACTTACAGTTAATGAACACTGCTGCAAGCATACATGCCACTACCACGGAGGGGCATCGGGGCTCGTGCCCCCCCTGGTGAGATCTGGGGGAAGACGGGGGGGGGGGGGCCGAAGAGCCCCCCCCCCCCCGGGCCATGATCCTTACGGAGACGCTGTTTACGTGCCATGTAACGAGCTTCTAGTAGTGGCATGTAAACAAAATAACGCCCACGTTGCCATTATTGACAAAATGCATGGGAAATGGAATCCCAGCGTGCTTTCGTTAGCTTCAATCTCCAGTTCTGGCGAGAAGGTAACGCGGCATCGATTCCTTTTACGTCCGCTTGGTCTGCTTCTACAGCAGCCTGCCATTTTGCGATGTCCCACCAGAAAAACAAAACAAAATAGATATATAAAACAAGTGGAAGTTCATACAGAGGGCGCCTACTCCATCCGGAGCTGTTCCAAAAGTCCGTTTAGTAGTGACTCCGACGGAGTTACCCGAACTGGATTCGTGGAGTCACAACTTAACGCGCCCAATGAAGCGATGGTTGATGCAGTCGACCGCGGAGAGCCGCATGCGTGAGAAAATATTAGTTGGCAAGTCGTTAATAAAAATTAGAAAAATTAATGGACCAAGAGTACTGCTCTTACAATGATAGCTGAAGAAGATATACATACGTTGTAAAATATACCCCCTAAATTAAACTACTCTTAATTGCCGGTTTAAAATTGCGCAAACAAACAAATCCCCCCTCCTCTCCTCTCCCTCTCCCCTCCCCCCCCCCCATTCCCCCCCCCTCCCTCCCCCCTCGGAGAACTTCTCAGCCTGCACCGCCGGGGAAATGGAAAGTCTACGCCGCTGGCTGCAAGCACAAAGAGATGCAATACACTCACTGAATAGTCCTTTCACAGTCACCTCGAACTCAGAAAACCCTGGTCCTGGTGGCCCCCCAATTCGCACCAGCTGTTGAGCCTTATCGGTTGACACCTTCGGCCATAAACAGTTGTTTCCCGTGACCCACGTGCAAGGCACGATCTCCATCTCTTGGGTTATCGTAAATTCCACAATTGCATACATCCCTGAAAATGAATAGAAAAACTGATGTGAGAAAGTCATCAACACTCACCGGATCTAAAAAGTTATGCAAAAGCTAAACATTTACCTTGAGCTGCTGAAATGGCGGCGGTTTCACGGTACCGTCGCTTTCACCGACAGTAAAACGTAAAACCCGGTCGTGGTAACACCAGAGTCCAAACCACGCGCTCCTAGAGCCGACAATGCACAAATATCGATGGATTTCGTTGGCTATGGATTTTAACGGATATGTGACAGTAGCGGCACCTAGAAAAGTTGAAAACTACATGACGTCGGGGTTAAACATCAATAAATAAATAAATTGGTAGCGTTTGTTTTATTCATACATTAGTTTGGTGACTTATCAATTTAAACAAATCTCCACAGACAAATTATAACAGCACAGTCGTACCGTCGGTGTCATCCTTGGTGTTATCCTACGTTGATTTCATGAATTGCAGTTTACACCAACACGCTCGGCAACAAGCAGTAAAATAATTATGCCTAATTTTTAACAACAAACAAGAAAAGTAGCGAGAAGTATATTCTTATTGAATCATATACCGACTAACCACTGATCGGTATAGCCAGCTTCGCGACCTCACCTGTCTCGGCTGGCAACCCGATTTTCGAGTTTTGTTCTTTTTCTTTGTTTCTTCCGTGTCCACGTTGTTGCTGTCGCGTGTCAACGGTTATACAACGGTGTTACTAAAATATTTTTATTTCTGTTTTAAGTAGTATGGTGCGTGTGTGGCAGTACTCACGTTGGACAATGTTCCAGAAGAACTTTTCGTCTAGTTGAACTATCTGCTTGAGTTGTCCATTTCGGGTTAGTACTTGCTTTCCATACCACGTCCTTTTTTTCCATCCCCCTCTCTTTTTGTGTTACTCGAAATTCATTCCGTTCGTGTTTTCGTAAGTAGCGTCCTAAAGGACTAGTACAGATGTTGGCTAGCGTTTCACAACTTTCGTTCACCTATAGTTGAACGGCCTACTTGTTTCTATTTTTGGGAAAGTTAGTTTAGTCTCATTCTGAACCGCTTCGTTATTTCGCGCATATCATCCGTACCACGCTTTGTTTTTTCCGTCTTCGCCCGTTCCTGTCTGGCTGGAAGCACATCCAGTCTGCGACTGTGAGCTACAGGTACGTTGACGGTGTACGTGAAAATTGCACGCACTCATGCCTTTGTCAACTTGTTTTCTTAGGTCTGCACGGTGGAGAGGGGCTTCCCCACGCCTGGGTCAGGCACATCCAGTCTGCCGCTGTGAGCTACAGGTACGTTGACGGTGTATGTGATAATTGCCCTCACTTACGCCTTTGTCAACTTGTTTTCTTAAGTCTGCACGGTGGAGAGGGGCTTCCCCACGCCTGGGTCAAGCACATCCAGTCTGCCGCTGTGAGCTACAGGTACGTTGAAGGTGTACGTGAAAATTGCCCTCACTTATGCCTTTGTCAACTTGTTTTCTTAAGTCTGCACGGTGGAGAGGGGCTTCCCCACGCCTGGGTCAAGCACATCCAGTCTGCCGCTGTGAGCTACAGGTACGTTGAATGTGTACGTGAAAATTGCCCTCACTTATGCCTTTGTCAACTTGTTTTCTTAAGTCTGCACGGTGGAGAGGGGCTTCCCCACGCCTGGGTCAAGCACATCCAGTCTGCCGCTGTGAGCTACAGGTACGTTGACAGTGTACGTGACAATTGCCCTCACTTATGCCTTTGTCAACACAGGGGTTTCCCCACGCCTGGGTCAAGCACATCCAGTCTGCCGCTGTGAGCTACAGGTACGTTGAAGGTGTACGTGAAAATTGCCCTCACTTATGCCTTTGTCAACTTGTTTTCTTAAGTCTGCACGGTGGAGAGGGGCTTCCCCACGCCTGGGTCAAGCACATCCAGTCTGCCGCTGTGAGCTACAGGTACGTTGACAGTGTACGTGACAATTGCCCTCACTTATGCCTTTGTCAACACAGGGGTTTCCCCACGCCTGGGTCAAGCACATCCAGTCTGCCGCTGTGAGCTACAGGTACGTTGAAGGTGTACGTGAAAATTGCCCTCACTTATGCCTTTGTCAACTTGTTTTCTTAAGTCTGCACGGTGGAGAGGGGCTTCCTCACGCCTGGGTCAAGCACATCCAGTCTGCCGCTGTGAGCTACAGGTACGTTGACGGTGTACGTGAAAATTGCCCTCACTTATGCCTTTCTCAACTTGTTTTCTTAGGGCTGCGCGGTGGAGAGGGGTTTCCCCACACCTGGGTCAAGCACATCCAGTCTGCCGCTGTGAGCTACAGGTACGTTGACGGTGTACGTGAAAATTGCCCTCACTTATGCCTTTGTCAACTTGTTTTCTTAAGTCTGCACGGTGGAGAGGGGCTTCCCCACGCCTGGGTCAAGCACATCCAGTCTGCCGCTGTGAGCTACAGGTACGTTGACGGTGTACGTGAAAATTGCCCTCACTTATGCCTTTGTCAACACAGGGGTTTCCCCACGCCTGGGTCAAGCACATCCAGTCTGCCGCTGTGAGCTACAGGTACGTTGAAGGTGTACGTGAAAATTGCCCTCACTTATGCCTTTGTCAACTTGTTTTCTTAAGTCTGCACGGTGGAGAGGGGCTTCCCCACGCCTGGGTCAGGCACATCCAGTCTGCCGCTGTGAGCTACAGGTACGTTGACAGTGTACGTGACAATTGCCCTCACTTATGCCTTTGTCAACACAGGGGTTTCCCCACGCCTGGGTCAAGCACATCCAGTCTGCCGCTGTGAGCTACAGGTACGTTGAAGGTGTACGTAAAAATTGCCCTCACTTATGCCTTTGTCAACTTGTTTTCTTAAGTCTGCACGGTGGAGAGGGGCTTCCTCACGCCTGGGTCAAGCACATCCAGTCTGCCGCTGTGAGCTACAGGTACGTTGACGGTGTACGTGAAAATTGCCCTCACTTATGCCTTTCTCAACTTGTTTTCTTAGGGCTGCGCGGTGGAGAGGGGTTTCCCCACACCTGCGTCAAGCACATCCAGTCTGCCGCTGTGAGCTACAGGTACGTTGACGGTGTACGTGAAAATTGCCCTCACTTATGCCTTTGTCAACTTGTTTTCTTAAGTCTGCACGGTGGAGAGGGGCTTCCCCACGCCTGGGTCAAGCACATCCAGTCTGCCGCTGTGAGCTACAGGTACCTTGACGGTGTATGTGATAATTGCCCTCACTTATGCCTTTGTAAACTTGTTTTCTTAGGGCTGCACGGTGGAGAGGGGTTTCCCCACACCTGGGTCAAGCACATCCAGTCTGCCGCTGTGAGCTACAGGTACGTTGACAGTGTATGTGATAATTGCCCTCACTTATGCCTTTGTCAACTTGTTTTCTTAGGTCTGCACGGTGGAGAGGGGCTTCCCCACGCCTGGGTCAAGCACATCCAGTCTGCCGCTGTGAGCTACAGGTACGTTGACGGTGTATGTGATAATTGCCCTCACTTATGCCTTTGTCAACTTGTTTTCTTAGGGCTGCACGGTGGAGAGGGGTTTCCCCACACCTGGGTCAAGCACATCCAGTCTGCCGCTGTGAGCTACAGGTACGTTGACAGTGTGTGTGATAATTGCCCTCACTTATGCCTTTGTCAACTTGTTTTCTTAGGTCTGCACGGTGGAGAGGGGCTTCCCCACGCCTGGGTCAAGCACATCCAGTCTGCCGCTGTGAGCTACAGGTACGTTGACGGTGTATGTGATAATTGCCCTCACTTACGCCTTTGTCAACTTGTTTTCTTAGGGCTGCACGGTGGAGAGGGGTTTCCCCACACCTGGGTCAAGCACATCCAGTCTGCCGCTGTGAGCTACAGGTACGTTGACAGTGTACGTGACAATTGCCCTCACTTATGCCTTTGTCAACTTGTTTTCTTAGTGCTGCACGGTGGACAGGGGTTTCCCCACGCCTGGGTCAAGCACATCCAGTCTGCCGCTGTGAGCTACAGGTACGTTGAAGGTGTATGTGAAAATTGCACGCACTCATGCCTTTGTCAGCTTGTTTTCTTAGGGCTGCACGGTGGAGAGGGGTTTCCCCACACCTGGGTCAAGCACATCCAGTCTGCCGCTGTGAGCTACAGGTACGTTGACAGTGTATGTGATAATTGCCCTCACTTATGCCTTTGTCAACTTGTTTTCTTACGGCTGCATGGTGCAGAGGGACCTCCCCATGCCTGGATTTTGCACCATATGTTCATAACACACTTAAACTTCCCTTTAGATGACAGGGAATAGCTTTTCCCCGTCATCTACAGGTAGGTTTCAGTGTGTTGTGAATATGCACTCATACCTTCGTCAATTTGTTTGCTTGGCGGGGGAGAGGGGGAGCCGTAGCGGCCTCCCTCCACCGAGGACTAGCACTTCGTCACTCGTCCGGTTAATTTGCGATAGTTACCGGCACTGGTATCTTAAGCTTTTCTCGCTAGGCATGAGATTGCTTTTCCACGACACAGCCAATCTGGTAGATAACATAGGCTAAAAATACTGAAAAAGTCTCTAGGCACAAGTGCCATTCATATAGTCCAATTAATATAATTAAAGCATATTTCTTTCATTTGTTTACAGACGGACACTCCCTCCAAGGTCTGACTAGGACATGGGTCAGACAACAGCAAGACAGCTGCTAAATATATGGCAGAAGAGCTTTCCAGGGCAGAAAGGTATTGCATAGTTGACAAAAAGGGCGACTGTCGAGGAGTGGAGCCACCAGAAGATCTGGAGAAAATGCATACTATTAAAATTATCATCTTATTTCAATATAGATTTGGCTCATGGTCTTTCATTGGCACAGCATGCGGGCTAGGGTACGACATTTTGAACATTCATAGCTGTCCAAGTAAAGGGTAAAGCATAAAGCGCCGTTCACACTCTTGCGACCGAGAGACCAGACCGGTTTTTAAGCCTTTTGCGACTTCTTAGGACCGGATGCGCTGCAGCGGAGCTGGTCCTAAGAGATCGCAAGAGGCTTAAAAACCGGTGTGGTCTCTCTCGGTTTTACTCGGTCGCAAGAGTGTGAACGGGCCTTTAGACGTAATGCCCTAATCCCTAGGGATTTTGAGGCGCGATATTCAAAGTATGTCCGCTGAGGATCCCTGTTCGGATGTCCTCCGGATGTACAAAACTCTTACCTTTGTACGTCCGTCGGACGTCCACGGGACGTCCTTCGGATTTTCGCGGATGGCCCTCGGATGTACGATATATCCGAAAAGGATGTCCATCGGATGTCCGATGGATGTCCAGTGGTTGCTT